AACATAGTTATGAAGTCCCTAACACAGCTCAAGGATTTCAATATGAGATACAAAGTATCTATAGCAATGAATATGAGCCAATAGTGACAAAAGCTTCAGAGCAAAAACCCGCGCCGTTACCACGAGTAGTGCCTAATTTGGAAAAGACTGTGCCTAGGATTAGGGGCTCCATGGTTAAAAATATTGCTGCTAATATCGAGAATCGAAATAACTTAGTGGAAGGAAGGATAGATAATGTTGGATCGATGAAGATATTCAACAAAAGGAAAGTGCCACGAACTCCTCCTGCACTGCCGCCAAAGCCAAAGAATTTATCAGCTAAACTGAAAGCTGAAAACACTGTCAAAACAGCGACAGAACCGTTAGACTCTGAAGCCGTTGCGGCTAATCAACGGGTTGCAGACGTTAAGATGAGAAAAGTGGGACAAGTAGCAAATGTAAAGAACGTAGAACCGGACTACTGCTCCATTTCAGAGATAAATGTTCCAGTAGTCAGCAATGGTAAACGGGAGTTGCTTCTCACACAGCCTACAGTAGAGATTCATAACGAACAGTACCCGATACATGCAGTTAATCAGAGGAACAGCGTGGCAAAGGTTATATCCTTGCCAAGAATCCAAAATAAAATCAGTGATAAAGACATTCCAAAACTTCCACATGTCACTGAAATAATTATTCCAGACGAAGATGAAAAGCCAACCGAAGATCAACATTCATTTCCAAAAACGGCTGACGGTTACTTGGCTAACTTCAATATCCATCCTCTGCAACCGAAATTGGACCCCCGTGCTTCGATTCAAATGGGAAACACAGTGTCTTCCATATTGTCAGAAATCAACAGAGGCGTAAAGTCCGGCGGTAAGCAAATCAACTTGACTGAATTAGATCATCAATTTAGTCCTCACAGTGGTCCGGAGAAGATAAATGTTAATACCGCAGAGCCACGCAAAGCAGAGTATCTTGATGATATGGACAAGTTTGATTTGTCGCAGGATTTTGAAGAGTTTAAGATAGACGATGAACTTGGCAGTATAGTTGCAGAGGAGTATCGCATTAGCTCTAGTAGCAGTGACGGTTCGGCATGTGACGTGGTAACGGAACATATACACACCATTGTACCTGAAAAAGACAATCAGCATAGTACTAATGACAATGAGAACGGAAAGTCTGACAACTTTCATGACAACAACGAAAGCACCATAAACAAAGCTCTGTCAAAAAATGCCAAGCTTTCCAACAAACCTGATCTCCTATCGAATATAGAGAATTTAGAGACTGAGTCGGTAAGAAATTCCGATATAGAATCCAGTAATTCTTCCGGGAGTAACAGCGGTTCTTACAACACTGTTAAATGCGAGCCGAGGATGATTATTAGTTCCGACACGAACGCAGCTAAAACGAAAGGGTCTTTCGATTTCTTTCTGGAAACGTCTGGTCTGAGTTCTAAGTCTATATTTAAACCTAGTAAGCACTATCTAACTATGAGACCTCCTAGTGCCAATCATAAAAATGTATTGAGACCTAAGGATATTAAGATGCGTGTTAAAAACCCCATCGCAACGAACAATATCAACGAAAAAACTATGACGACCGCTATTAAATATTTTGAGCCCTATGTGTAATATTTTACTTTACAGTGTAATGTATTGTTTTGTTATATTTCCTTTACAAAATGTTTAATTTTATTTATTGTAGAAATGAACTTGCCTGCATAATATTACTATTGTATTTATGTTAAATAGGATGTATTTTGTAAATATTTTACTTATTTTAGTTGTTTCACAATTATGAAAAATATGATTATAATATGAAGTCAGTGGTTTCATTTAAAATTAAAAAATAAAGTGAAGTTACAGCCTATATTCGTCCCATTACTGGGCACAGAATCATTTTTAAAATTTAAGCTTGTTACATCCTATTTTTTCCAGACGGTAAAAAAGCTCACCAGTATATAGAGGGTAATAAATACAACCTTTCCCTTTGAGACACTCTATGGCAGAGGCCGTCAGCATATGATCAGTAGTACACTTTCATAGGTTTTAATGGATGGATTCGGAGAGAGCGTTATCCCTACCCGGTTGAGCCGACACACTCGTGCAACAGTGGTATAGCTGCAGCGGGACTACCAGGTACTCGTAAAACCTATCCAAGTCTGAATAATAACCGACTTATTATTCTTCATAAACACAAATTCCACTGTTAGCCACAAGCTCCACCTTGGCAGGGAGAATTTGCCTTGAACTTTGCACTTCACAAGCGTATTGACGATCGCAATAACCATGGAATACTATAGTTACGATATTCTATGGCAATAACAGATGTCTCTCATCTTTGACATTGCTTTCCGTCGCCGGTCTGGATTTTAGTTTTGGCTCTAAAATGATAGTATGCACCGCAATCTACCACCCACATCACAATATTATGAGATAATGGATCTTCTTACGCCGGCACCATACGAGACTAAGATAATATTTCAAATTAGTATACTATTAAAATTACTGCCTCTTATTTCTGAGAGGGTTTTAGGGCAACTTACACATGACTTCGAAGTAAAAAAAATATCTTATTTATCCGACATGCAGGTTCATACACGATGCTTAACTTCACCGCCGAGCACGTGGTTAATCAGCACTTAAAACTGCAATTAACAATTTCATTGGTGCCGACAGAGATCGTAAACTGATTCGAAGGTATTATTTTTCTAAATAAAATTCCGTTCCGTGTATTCGTAATTCTTATCCTCCTACAAAGCTTAGCCGATTTTGATGATAATAGACGCGGTAGGTCGAGACGCTGTCGTCGAGATCCAGAAATCATCCTGCGAAGCTGAGACGGATTGTAAGTTTAATTATAAAATATAAACTTACAAATGTAATACATGTAATTATGTGACATAAGCACCCACTTAACCGAAAGGGTTTATTAATTCCGCAATATCTTTAATTAGTTTCTTTTAATAAGCTAATTATAAAACGATTAACAAAATTACTTCCCTTAGCATTTAATTTATTTTGAATTAATTAGCATTTATTACATGTCTGTGGAATTTATTTATATAATATTTTATTTCAATAATAGAAATAAAATATGTTACTATAAATTAACTATTACATAAGAAATAAATTCTGTCCAGTTCGCGTCTGTTTTATCTTTTAGATCCTTAATGATCTTCAGTGACTCCTTGGAAGTAAACGCGTTTGTAGAATTATCTACTACTGCAGGAATACATGTATACCCTTCAGGCGAATATACGCATTGGCATATTTCCCGGGGTGGGCCTAGGGTAAAAACCTTAACCAGATGAAAGATTGCTAGAAAAAGTTGGAACTTTTACTCAATTGTTTTATTGCTTTGTATAGAATAAGGGTGACATGCGAGCACACAACCCACCTGATGGTAAGTGGATGCTGTGGCCTGTAGACATCTACATTTATCCTCGATTAAGAATCAACATGCAGATGGGTTACCACACCTGAGGCCTAAGATGGAATGCATCGTTTACAGTAAAGTGTATCCAGTTCTTTACACTCACCATACGAAACACAGAAACATCAGGCTGCTATTTTACGCTAGTGTTCTGTGAAAGCGTGGTCCTGCTCCGGTCGAGCCGTTACATTCGTGCTGCACTATAATGTAGCTGCGGTGGCTCTATCACGTTGGAGACTTGATTAATGAATGGGTTTTCAAGGGGTCGACCTCCTCATTTACGATCATAGGTACGCCATGAGATAAGAATAATGTCCTCTATCAGGAATCAGAAGATATGACAAGTGTATAGGTACAAACAAAAAGATTGAATCAAGAATTTCTTATATAAGAAACCTGCGGTTTTTTTTTACGGGAGTTTGAGCACCCGAGTGCGATCGCCCACTGTACACTGAAGATTTATTTGTATGAGCTACTATTAATTTTTTCGTGTCTGGATGTTTGTCCATATGTACAATTTATATTTATAAAATGTCTGTCTGTCTGTCACAATGTGGGAGAAATTCTAAGCGAAATAAGGGTAAGTAATTATTTTTTAAAGGCGCTCGAATTTCTCCCGGCGTTGAAAAAAAATGTTTGTTTAATTATTTGTATGAAAACAAATTATCGAAGTAATTACATCTATCTATATAATAAACAAAAGAAGTAAAAAACTTAATTAAATATAAAACATCCATATCTTTTTGGATGAACCAGTTACATTATATATTATATTATGTATATAACTGTTCACGGCGCCAACTATCAGGTCCAGATTTTGTGATTTTTTTTGGCACTAAACCAACATACAAAAATAATGTCCTCTAGGTCATTTTGTTCACGGCGGCCTTTTTACCTAATAATAAAAATACCGCCGCCGGCGATATAAAAATAAAATAAAAATGTATTTCATGTATGTATAGATGTCTAGATGTTTGTCCACGTTTTACATATTTTGTAAAATATCTCTACTATCTAAAAGATATTCGAATATAACGTTTTTAAAGAGCACCCACACAAGGCGCTCGAGCTACGGTCAGCGTTAGATTTTTTTTAATTACCTGTGAAAAACAAATTCATTAAGGAATTACATCTATGTATCTATAAACTTTAGAAGTAAAACATTAATTTAATATAAAACATCCATATCATTTTCGACAAACCACCCATATTATACTATATTTATAATATTCAATATATTTTTCAAGCGGCTTTTCTCGTATGACCTTCGCTTTACGAACATCCAGTGTTCCATGTCTACAACATTAATTGTGATGTTGTTCTCACAGAAAATAATATGTTCTCTCCATAAATTGTTAACGGTTAAAATATAAAATTAATAACTTGGCCACTAAATCATAGTGAGGGTATTTAAATGGTTTGCATTGCATAAATTCAACTAGGTATTATTTGTAATTAAAAAATGAATTGAGCAATAACATTTTTATTAGATATAAGATATAAAAATATATACAAACGTATATAATGTACATATGTACAAATAATTATATTGTAGTTTACAAATTATCATAGCTTCATATTCGTACTAGTTTATTATTTACAGTTAACGAACTTGAAACCTTAAACGTTTTAAAAACCTTCCTTTTTATATACTGTAACATTTTCGTCGATGAGTTAGTATCTGATATTACTTCTTCGAACGTTTCATTTTCAGTTCTTTCAATATCAAAAGCTAAATCGTTTGTGACTGTTATTTCACTTATATCAAAGGAACTTCTTACAAATCCAGAATCCAATGTGTTGTCCAAGCTTCGGAAATCGCTCGTAGAAGGCACTCTCGCAACAGATATATTTGAAAAGGAATCGCACAGCTTCACATTAGCTTTGCTTCGTCTTCGCACATCGATTCGTGAATAGGGTTTTGGCCTATTTCTTTTAATACTCTTCAGATACTCTTCGGAAGAAAATGTCGTTGTAGGGTTGTCCACTACTGCAGGAATACAAGTAGTTATCTCTTCAGGCGTATCCAAGTCGATCGGTTTTCCCCATTTACGATCCAATGCACGTGATGCAACAGTTAAATGCAAATGAAGGTCCATTATCAATACTTAGTATAGTACGATATAAGTGACCTCTTCAGTGAATTATGAATAAAGAATAAAACAAATGGGTGTTAGTATTTAAATTTATAGCAAATATCATTACCCCCACTTCAGCAGACGGGTTAGTTAATTTAAATACACCTAATCGATTAAAATATGGCTACTGTGAAATAATTATGCAAATTAAATGTTTATGAAAAGTCATTAATTAATAGGTAATTTTATATCTAGTAATAAAACAAATTAAAATGACATTGTATTTCAATTTAAATTAATTTATATAAAATAATATTGAATGTTGATGATATGTATTTATATATATATATATATATATATACATATATATTATAATTTATGTTTAATAATTAGATAATACGAAAATAGTTAGCCCTCTAGTGTTACTATGCCCTTGTAGGGCGTCACATGTGTACCTATCAAAATTGTACCATCTTAAATTTGTAATGTGACATACAAAAAAAAATTGAATTTGAAATTAAAATATATAATTATATTAAGGTTTGTGACAGTTTATTTGAATTAATAAACCTTTATCCAAAATAGCACGTTGTCGTCGCACAGTGAGTAGATGCGACAATGTGTGATGTCAGCTTCAGAGTATCTCTGTGTGCTAGAATCCGTAACAGAACCAGAGTAACTTACAGCTCAACGGATGAGTAAGTGGCAATGGGCCGCCCATACCGCTTGACAAACCTAAAACCGATAAGGATGAATGTTTCAGCTTCTTACCACCGAGACTGAAACGTAAGTAGGTACCTAAACGTAAGACCGAGCTCTGGTAGTACTTGACAGAGGCTATGTTAAGCAGTAGAGTTACGACGGGCTGCAATGATGTAAACAGAATATTTTTACCCAGGTTTTAGTTTTATGGGAAATCATAATAAAGCATTTGCAATGGCATAGACATTTTTTGAGATTATTAAGGTCAGAGATTTAAGTTTACTGTTAGTGGTATATTAACGTTTACATTCAGAGGGAAGGTGCTACCATCCGATTAAAGTTATCTAGAACCGACTAGAAATCAGTGTAAGATTTTATTAATTTCCAAACAAAATATGTCATCGGAGTACCCGTTGTTTTATCGGATATGACACCCTACAAGTATTATATACCATCGTCATACTGAATTTTATTGAGATATATTATGTAAATACGTACATACTTGTACTACCACTGTACTACGTAAGTAAGAAATTATACTTCTATGCTTAATTTAGAATATTATTAGCATAACGCGTAAACAATGCAGCATTAGGCTTTAGTAAAAAACTTAGAGTTTTCTGTATTTTGATATTCTATGTTGCTATTTTGTTTTGACCGCCGACGGCCGCTAGATGTCTTTATAACCATGAACCATATAATGTAAATGTTTATTTCCCAGTGATAGGGAGCGGTGTCAAGGGTGCAAAAAGTCTGGTATTGCGATCACCAATATACGTGCCAAGTGTGAAATGTTGTTATTTTTATGTATTTTTATTTTTCATATATTTCGTATTGTCTAATTGTTTTTGCTTGTTTTATATTAGTATTTTACGCGTACTTGTAACAATTATTAAGTTATCGTACAGTTATCGTCTTTTTTTAAACATGCTGTAACTAGCTTTAAATGGAAACAGGTAAATCTTAGTTCCTAAGCCTATTGTCACATTTTTTTTAAAACAACATGTTATTCCGTTGGTGGTTCTATCAATAAAATAAAAAATAAAATTCTCTACTATGGGAGATATCGATATCTAACATTAATCTAACAGGTAAATAAGTATCATCTATAAATATGTAAATATCTTTAAGTAGGTATATAGATATAAATACGAATGTTTCTTTGTTGGTTCCGTATGCGTTTTTTTCTAAACCATTCATCCGATTACGACGAATCTTTAAAGGGCATTCCCTAGGAAAACGTCGTGCTAGCCATTATCTATGTAGTTTTAGGGGGCTATCTACTTAATGTTTAAAAGATATAAATCAACTAATAAAAGTACATTAAATTTTTACATAAACTTCATAACGTAGTCCACCTGATGATAAGTGGCTGCTGTGGCCCATAGACATCTACATCTATCCTGGATTATGAATCAAAATTAAGATACGTTGTCACCCGTGAGGACCAAAATGGAATGCCTCGTTTCAAGTAAAAAGGGTTTTCGGCTCTCTACATTCACCATACGAAACACAGCAGCGTTAAAAGCTACTATTTTACGCTAGTATTCTGTGAGAGCGTGGTCCTTCCTCAGTCGAGCCGACCCATTCGTGCTACAACTATGCTACTAATATAACTGTAGCATGGCTCTACCACGACTATTTCTTGATTCTATAATGGTCAATTCCAACATTTTATAAGGTGTAATTAATCTCATTACAACGTAACCACAGAAATGAGAAATAAAACATACACCTCCTCGTAAAGTAAGGTAGGATGGGGTAAGACAATCACGGGGGGAAGACTATCATAGTGTAATAACTCATTATACACAGCTTCCTACTCTAGTTTGTTATGCTAGTAAAGTAGGAAACACTCAAAAAGTTCTTGGCTCAAAACACAGATGTCGCTACTTTACGTAAAAATGGTGAACATGACACAAATCTAAGTTGACATTTGAGGAAGCAAAACACGAGGTCGGCGTTTAGTGATAATAATAAAATTTTCGTGTGAAAAAGTGGTGAATTTGAAACCTTACATACGTAAGTATAATTGCAATAATACTAGCTTTTAAGTAATGATATTGGTACAACGTAAAACCAATTGATTTAAAAAATATTGATAAAACCAAATACATAACCTCTAAATCGCGAGGTGAGGTAAGACTACCAGTCCACCTGGGGCTAGACTAACATAATATGGTAGTCTTGCCCCAAGTCATGTGTTGTAAACATTTTTTTTAGGAACTATATTTTTAAAAATTATTTGGATTATTTGGAATTATATAGACGTTTGGATGGTTCCTAATATTGCTATCTCTCTGCATATACACAAGTCATCATTCGCTTGCCCTTTTCCCATTATTTGGGGTCGGCGCAGTATGTCTTTCTCTTCCATTCCTCTCTATCAGCCGTCGTTTCCACGCTAACACCTTTCACTCTCATGTCAGTCCACACAGTCCATCCATCTTTTCCTCGGTCTTCCTCTGCTCACGTATACGTATCCGTCCACTTTCAAATTCAACACTCGTTTTGTGACATACCTTTCATCCCTCCGCATCACATGCCCATCCATGTCAATCTACTTCCTCCCAACTTTTCTGTCACTGTTTACTTTCAGGCTCCCTCTTATAAATTCATTACGAATTTTATCCATCCTTGTCACACCACACATCCATCTCAACATTCTCATTTCATTCACATGCAAACTTTTTTCATCCTTCTTCTTGACTTTTCCAAAAAACATATTTTATCCAGATATATATTTACATTGAGAGCAAATAACTTCTAAGTTGTAAATAAATGTATTACTTACGTACGTGAATCAGAAATATTTATGATTCAAAGATTAACGTATATATAAGTGCTTATTTGTTACTTTGTGCTCGCGGGAGGCCAATGGGGGGTTCAATTTGTCTGATTCTTTCACAGAAAGTTGTGGTCGGTGTCAACGGATTCTGTTCCGCAGCTTTCCTGAACTTGCGAAACGAAATCGGCTTTTCCATAAATATTGCGCTTGGTGGATATTTTTTTTGTATGGGAGGCTATTTTGTTTCGCAGGTTCGGGGGAATTGCGGAGCGGAACTTGTTGTATTGATAGCAACCCTCTGTAAAGGTATCGGGCTGAGTTCCCTGTTGATTTCTCGTGAGCGTGAATTTGGTAAATAGGTGCATATATATACGTTATTCTTTTCCTTTAAAAAAACAAGATTTTGCTATTTGTATTTCAGATGAACACAAGATGGTACGAAATTATGTCCGAAAAACAGATAGAGCAACTAAATATACGCGTGATGACTTGTTGGAAGCTATCGGGAAAGTAAAAAGTGGTGAATTGACGGCGTACAGAGCCTCTATTGCTTACAATATTCCTAGACCAACAATAGTAGCTCGAGTGTATGGTAGATATGGCGATAAATCTGATTCTTTAGGAAGATGTACAGTTATTCCAATGGAAATAGAAACAAGATTGGCAGAAAACTTACATCAAATGGAAATATACGGATTCGGTTTATCAAGAACAGAAATAATGGAGCTTGGTGGACACAATGTAACAAAAAACAACATAAAAAATCCTTTTAAAAACGGCATCCCAGGAGAAGACTGGTTTTTGACTTTCAAAAAACGACACAATTTTGCCGTCAAAAAACCACAAGCCGTGGAAAATTCTCGGAAAAAGGCCTGCAATCCTTGGATCATATACTCCTATTATGATTTGCTGAAAAAAACAATGGACGAATTGGAATTACACGATAAACCTTCACAGATATGGAACTTAGACGAAACGAGTTTTTGCAAAGACCCCAGTAAAACCAAAGTAGTGGGTTCGAAAGGATATGCTTCTACTAGAACTATTGCATCACCTGGCAAAAGCAACACTACGGTTTTACTGGGAATTAGTGCCGCTGGAGACAAAACTCCCCCACTAATTGTTTATAAAGGGAAAGACATTTGGGACCAGTGGATGACTAAGGATGACTATCCTGGGACTAGGTATGCAGCGACCAAGAATGGTTGGATGGAAACCGATGTATTTGAGAGATTTTTTGAAAAAGTGTTTTTGCCGACAGTGGGTCAAAAACGACCGATATTACTAATATATGATGGCCACTCAACCCATGTAGGATTAAACATAATAGAAAAAGCACGTGAAGCGGACATCACTATTTTGAAAATACCAGCACACACCAGCGACAATCTGCAGCCGCTAGATTTGGCAGTAAATAAGTCTTTTAAGGACAAGTGGGATCAGGCCCTTGTAAAGTGGCAAAGATTGCATGTGGGTGAAGTGATGCCAAAAAAAGACTTCTCAAAGCTTATTGGCGAAATTTGGGCTCAAGTAGATCCTAAAGTTTGTGTTGCTGGGTTTCGCAAAGCTGGTATTTATCCTTTTAACAATAAAGCAGTGCCAGAAGAAAAATTTCACCCAGACCAACTTGCGAAATATAAAAAACAGCTTTGCCAATCCAATGAACCTCAAACTCAAGACCAAAGTACTCAGCCAACTCCTGGCCCCTCATGGGCCAAAGATTTATCCAAGAATGAAACTGAGACTCCACCCGTGAGCAACACAAGTATCGGTGTTCCATCGTCATTACCTTCATTAATTTCCATCTGTTTGAAAAAAGTAAATGATCATGATAAAAAATGCTTATCTGTAAAAGACAAACACCATTCTGACGCCAAAACTGCTGAAACTACACAGTCTAATGATTTCAATGCTAAAAAAATTACTATTATAGATGATCGTCTAGTAAAGTGTAAGTATACTTTTGAAGAATTGTTGCTTCAGAAAATAAAATCAGGGTCACCACATAACAAAGAAAAACGTACAAAAGTTGCTTGCGGTGCCGAAGTAATTACAAGTGAAGAAGTATTTAAAAAGCAAAAACATACTGAAGAAGAAAAGATGAAAAGAAATAAAGAAAAAGAGGAAAGAATAAAAAAAATGGAGAAAAAATTATTAAAAGACATAAATATAAAAACTAGTAAAGAGAAAAATAAAGCAATAAAAAATACGACAACTGAAGGAGGCGGAAAAAAGACTGCAAATGTTAAAATATTAGAGAACAACAAAAGCAGAAAGTCTAATAAAAGTAATATAAAAAACGTAAAGAGACAAACTTCGGCAAACAGTAAAAAGAGAAAGCTAGACTATTATTCAACCAGTGAAAGTGATGCTGACTTAGAACTAATGGATGAAAGTGATCTAGAAAATTTAGAAGATATGTTAGATAATAAGGAAAAGGATCTAGCAAACTACAAAGAAATTTTAGATGATGTGGAAAATTATCAAAATGATGATTTACAAACAGAAACAAATAATTCGGATGATTATGATGATCTGCCCACCAGTACTGTTGTTACAGGACAATGGGTTTTGGTAAAATTTACAACAAAATCAAGCTTAAAACATTATGTAGGAATAGTTTCAAGTGTAAACCATGAGTGAATACCAACGGTAAAGTACGTGAGAAAAAGTGCTTTTAGAGGCAATGATGATAATACTGCATTTGTTTACCCTGATGTACCTGACGTTTGTGAGCTCAGACATCTAGATGACATTGTGTGCAAGTTACCTAATCCTATAATTGAGCGAAGAGGAAAAATCTTTTTCAAGGTTTCCTTTAAAGGATATAATATTATATAAAAGAGATTTTTTTTAAAGAAAACTTCCAAAATTCTTATGGCGCGAGCAGGATTTAAAGCTGCGACCTTCGCTATCAGTACTAGTACTCAGTGTCGCAAGTTCGAATCCTGACCGCGGCATAAGAATTTTGCAAGTTTTCTTAAAAATTGTTTAGGTAACACAGTTTAGTGTTTTAAAATTGGTATTCAATACATAAGTAAGCACATAGATATTTTAAGTTCTCGTGAAAAAATTTAAGTAAATTGAAGTAACAGTCCTATTCATACATTATCGTGATAAATATAAAATTAAATACTTAATTGAAATAATACTAGTTTTTACGGAATTTATTGCGTAAGTAAGCATTATTTTATTTTGCTTTTGACACTAATGGATAGGCAATTTAATAATGTCTTAATACGTTTATATTAAACGTCTATAAGAAAAATACTTCATTTTACAAATCCTTTAACATAAATGTGTCGTTCTTATAATAATATGGTTTTGACAGTCTATAACATAAATAAGCTTCGCACTCAACTGTTTCACTATTTCAAGTTAACTGCACTCTTTAATTAAAACTAAAAAAACTCACTAAATTCATATAAAATTGTATAACAAAATTTTTTCATACAATATGTTTACGTTTAATACATTTTAAAATTGTATGTACGCGTCTTTGGTTTGTATTCCAAGTCAAACTTTTGTACATATAAGGTATAATTATACTATGTAAAAGTGAATATAAACTTTTGTGTACATCCATAATTAGTGAAAAAATTCTTGCATGCGCCCACGAATGTTTCTGATAAAATTAAACTAAAAAGAACCGCCTTCAAAGAAGTGTGAATTAAAGTCCCTACTTCAGAAAATAAATGTTGAAAAATGAAAAATAAACAAAGAATCAACAATCGTCACAATTGACAATGATATTGCGTAACCAGTGAGTGAATATATTTCATGCACGTAACATCAATATAAAAACAGTCGAATTGAAAACCACTTCCTTTTTTGAAGTAGGCTAAAAACGACATTATAACGCATACCGGGCACTGATAGTGTTAAAATAAATATGCGCGCACACCGAAAGCCTCATTGCAGATGATAATGGAATGGGATCATGGGAACAAATCATGGCCCCAAAATATAAAATTACTGTCTGTCGTACCGGGAAACCTGCATCTGTTGATTTCGCGCGTATTTCACCAGTTAGTCAAGCAATATGGTGTGGCTGACTTGCCTCCATTGGATTAATGCTCGCAAGCGTGGCTACTGATCATGTGGCCCCGTGGGTGTGGGATAAATCCCGGATCGGGCCATAATTAATTATAGTTATTAAAAATTTATAATATGTAGTTAGATAATAATATTTATACGTGGTAGAGTCACGCTTTAGCTATAAGTACTATGCTTGTAGCACGAATGGGTTTGGCTCGACCGGGGTAGGACCACGCGCTTACAGAATACCGGCATAAAATAGCATCTTAATGCTGCTGTGTTTCGTATGGTAAGTGTAAAGACCAGAATCCTTTAACAGGAAACAAGGCATTCCATCTTAGTCCTCACGGGTAACAACAAGTCTGAATTTTAATTCTTAATCGAGAATAAACGTAGATGTCTATGGGTCACAGCATCCACTGACTATCAGGTGGACTGCGTGCTCGTTTGTTACCCTTATTCTAATTGATAGAATCAGGCGTTACTTTGCGGAAATCCATTATAATAAAGATATTGATTAATTTGCAACCTTCCACTAAATACAATGTTGTGCCTTACCTGGATTGAAGAGCACCTCCCGCCCTCCCTTAATTGCGTGCACTAATTCCGTCACCACTAGTCCCATCACCACTACTCCCAACACCACTACTCCCGGCACCACTACTTCCAACACCACTACTCCAGGAAAGACACACCATCGACGACAATACGACACGTGTTTCGTCTCTACACGAGGCATCCTCAGTTAATGTAGACTCTACGGCGGCTGACCGCTAAGATGCTAAGACGAAGACCTCACTTAACAGGTAAGACACATCATTGTATTTAGTTAACGGAAGGTTGCAAATTAATACCCTTATTCTATAAAAAAAATTCTTAGTTAATTCTTAGTCTTAGGAACCTTTAGGCAGGAAGTTAGCGGTGTTTCAAGCACGAAAAGCCGTTAGTCCTGCGCTTGGAAAGAACACCTTTGCTTGTGCACACACTCGTATACCTAATCCTGTCTGCGCAGATGGCTAGTCTCCGTGAATATTGTCTGCCGTACTAATATTCGATATGGAAAACATTATTATTATTAAATAGGACTGAAATTAGCCGCTACTTATCCATTTGTTAGTCGTTAGTTATCATTCAAAACCTTTCACCCAACTTTCAATGGTATTACCATACTTTACTTTCAATTTCTGATAGCTTGGCTATACCGTTTACTCTGGTTTCAATAGAGATATCATCATTTTACAAGGTGGTCAAAGCTTCTTTTCCATCCCTCCTAAAACATTATATAAGCAGGTACTATCCTTTAATTATACCGCTAAGAAGCTGTGTACATACATTTAACGTACAACGTATTCTAGCTTAAATGTATAAAGCCAGTTACTTGGCGACTCGGTACCAAATGGCTAGGTGTTTGGCTAAGGCGCGTCTTAATGTCGATTCTTATATATATTAAGTTGATACTTATAATAGATCCAGTTTCAGGTATTTATGTAGATACCTATCTTCTTTGGGTTACATCTGGATTCGAATGTTTATATACTTAGATGTCTATCTTATTTAGGTTCCAGTTACCAATTTTCACGAGATAGAAAGATCTTGTTAATCATTGTGGTTTACATATCTGGCTCGAAAGAGATTTACTAAATGTGTTATAATTAATTAATTATAAATCATAAATCGACTTTACTTAAGTAATTACTTTCTCACACCTAATTTAATATTTTTAACAGTAGGTAATTATATAGTTTTAACTTTTAATAACTCTTTTGCTAGTGGTTGGTTATACATTAATTTTAATACTTTCCAAATTTAATTGTTCGGATCATAACTTTTTTTAATGGAATAAGTTAAACAAACGAGCACAATATTTAGACATTTATCCTCGATTAAAAATCTGTATACAGATGTGTTGTCACCCTTAAGGACAAAGATGGAACGCCTCGTATCCAGTACCTAATTTCCGGTTCTCTACACTCACTCTATGAAACACAGCAGCATTAAGCTGCTATTTTACGCTGTTATTCTGGGAGAGCGTGGTCCTTTAACGGTTGAGCCGATCCAATTTCGTGCTATAACCGTTTAAAGCTGTAGCATGGTTCTACAATGTAACAATTTGCTCTTAAAACTGTGCTAAGAGTATTCCTGCAGTAGTGGATAAGCCTACAACGACATTTTCTTCAAAGGTACCTACGCCTTTTCAGATACTTCTGAACAGTATTAAAATAAACAGACCATATCACTATTCACAAATCGAAGTGCGAATACGAAGCAGGGCTAATGTGAAGCTGTGTGATTCCTTTTCAAATATCTATATCTGTTGCAAGAGAATTTTTATAGCTTAAATAACACATTACATTCTAATGTCGAAAATATGTGTGCTAAAGAGATTACAAGTTTCATTGAAAAGACAATTGCTAATTTTAGGTTACCAGATAAAAAGAAAAAGCAGTCCACTTGATGGTAAGTGGATGCTGTGGCCTATAGACATCTACATGTATCCACGATTAAGAATCAAAACGCAGATGCGTTGTCACCTTTGATGACTAAGATAGAATGCCTCGTTTCCAGTAAAAAATCATACGAACAGGTGTGAGTGTTTATGTTTATGTTATATATATATATATATATATATATATATATATATATATGTATATATATATATATATATATATATATATATATCTGTTATGCATAGTCGATAGCTTATTTAATAACGTTTCCATGCGATGCGCCATATTGGCCAAAATCACTCCGACATTCGAGTTAATTTAATCAAAAATTCGAGAACCTCAGAGCGAACTTTTACATCCGCTGAGACAGGTTTTGTTACAAGCTCATATCGAATTATTGTACATACTAAGGCTTAAGATTTGCAATTCACTTATAGCGTAGGAGCTTATGTGACAGAGTTAGGTAGCATATTTTCCGGCTTCATTATGCAGTCGCTGAATCAGTTCATGTTATAAATTTTATTTTGGTATCCTCCCGCCCTCTCTTAATAGGGCAAAAAGGGTCATACGAAACACAGCAGTATTAAGCTGCTATTTTACGCTGGTATTCTGTGAGAGCGTGGTCCTTCCCCGGTCGAGCCGACACATTCGTGCTACAACCGTAATATAGCTGCAGCGTGGCTCTACCATGTATATACCACTATTGAGTGAAAAGAAAATAATGAAACGTATTTGTAGCCAAAACATTTTGCGAATGTAGACTAGGCCCAAATATAACTTGTTATGATATATTGTAAATAATTATATGTTATATATGTTACTAGCTTCCGCTCATCCGGCCCGGCTTCGCACGGGTGGTTTATGGATCTGAACATATGCATGTATTATACATATAAACCTTCCTCTTGTATCATATATATTCTATTAATGAAAACCACATCAAAATCCGTTGCTTAGTTTAAAAGATCTGAGCGTACAGACGGCGGAAAGCGACTTTGTTTTATGTAGAGATAATGCAATTGTTATAAAATTTTTTAGAATGGAAAGATTTATTTTTTGTAAAAATTAAAATAATAATTAGTACAGCTGTAACAGTAAAAGTAGTTACCGGTACAGCCTTGCAAAAGTCGACTGTTGAACATTGCTTCAGCTTGGCAA